GCAGCATTCAGTGCACCATGACATCCACTGCCCGAGGTGTCTCGGTCTTGGCTGTGACCGAATTTCACCCCACACCAAGAGCCTGGACACCCTCTGCCTGTGGATGTTTGCTCGCCCTGCTAGGAGCAGATCACAGCAGGATTTTTTTTCTGCAGCAATTACTGACAGGCGAAAAGAGAGGGAATTTCTACCCATCTCCTGGGTGAGGAGAAATTCCCTTCCCTGGAAAGAGGAGTTGCCTGCACAGCTTCACAGCAGAGCCCCGGCTGGCTCCGCACGGCATCTGCAGCACAGTGAGAGTCTGGCCGTTAACGAGGCAGCCCCGAGCTTGAGCTCGGGATGTACATCCTGATCCGACCAGGAGGAATGTGAGGCTCTGCCTTTGGCTGCAAAATGAACCAGGAGTGTTCGCAGGCCTCTGCCTCCATCAGGCACAGCCCTGAGGCTGGGAGGGAACACTCATCCCGAGAGACGCAACAGTGTCATGGGAAGAGTCAGCATGGTCCCTCGGGATATCCACTTAAATCCAGACAGCCAAAACTCCAGAGCTGGGCTTCTTCCTCCACTAAAAATAAATGAGAAAGGCCAAGAAGTCAGCAGATCTAAAGTCACAACAGGCCACAGCAGCAGCTGGTCTCCCACCACAGTGAGCTGACACCCAGGGGCACGGCAGGCACCCTGCTCCCTGCCTCCGTGGGTGCCGCAGAGAGAGCCGCGTGCTCTCTCCCACAGTCCCCTGAAGCAGCCAGCAATGGGCAGGGGACATGGCAACCTGCCACGGCAGGAGAGGCAGGGGATGCCTGCGACTTATAGAATCATAGAATCATAGAATGGTTAGGGTTGGAAGGGACCTTAAAGATTATCTAGTTCAAATCCCCCTGCCATGGGCAGAGAAATCCTCCACTACACCAGGTTGCCCAAAGCCTCATCCAACCTGGTCTTGAACACTTCCAGGGATGGGGCATCCACAACTTCTCTGGCAACCTGCTTCAGTGCCTCACCGCCCTCAATGTAAAAAATTTCTTTCTTATATATAATCGAAATCTGCCCTCTTTCAGTTTAAATCCATTGCCCCTTGTCCTATCACTACACGCCCTTGTAAAAAGTCCCTCTCCAGCTTTCCTGTAGGCCCCCTTTAGGTACTGGAAAGCTGCTATAAGATCACCCTGGAGCCTTCTCTTCTCCAGGCTGAACAGCCCCAACTCTCTCAGCCTGTCTTCATAGCAGAGGTGCTCCAGCCCTCGGATCATCTTCGTGGCCCTCCTCTGGACTCGCTCCAGTAGTTCCATGTCCTTCTTGTGTTGGGGACTCCAGAGCTGAACACAGTATTCCAGGTGGGGTCTCACGAGAGCTGAGTAGAGGGGCAGAATCACTTCCCTCGACCTGCTGGCCACGCTCCTTTTGATACAGTCCAGGATACGGTTGGCTTTCTGGGCTGCCAGCGCACATTGCCGGCTCATGTTGAGCTTCTCATCCACCAGCACTCCCAAGTCCTTTTCCTCAGGGCTGCTTTCAATCCATTCTCCACCCAGCCTGTAGGGCTCTGGCCCTGACTTGCAGGGATTTCAGAGGGCATGAGGACATCCTCTCCTGCTAGTCACTCCTCTCCCTTCAGGGCTCCTGATGAAGGGAGCGAAGCCACCACGCGCTCAGCAGGACTGGAAACAAGCCCACCTCGTGCTGAGCAGGTGACTTGATTCCTGGCAGCAAGGAGCCCCACAGCCCTCATCCTACAGCCTGCATCTCAGAGGCCTTGCTGCTCTACTTGCAGCCCTGCCCACAAAAGGGAATGCTTCTTCATTCGTTTCCTTCGGGCTGGGAACTCGCGGCTTGCACCTGCTGATGGAAATGGTCACCAAGACCAGAGACAACCCCCCCTCCCCGAGATGGCGGAGACATAAACGTGGCTGAGTGGTCTCTGGTCCCCACCAGGGACATACCGGATGCTCTCTGCCGCCAGTACGTGCCCTGGCTGCAGGAGATCCTTGGCCAGGAGGACATCTCGGGCTGTTGATGGGGATCAGCTGCTCTCCGCAGGCACTTGAGGCATTTCCTCCCTGCTTTGCCCATTGTTCGTAAGACAAACAGCTCTCCCTGGCCCGAGAAGGGGCTTATTTGCAGAGCCAGCGAGCTCATTCACCCCGGGAGAGGAGCCTGAAATCGCAGGGATTGTTTTTTCTGCAGATCACAGGGAGCTGACAGCCTGTGTTATGTCAAGAGCAGCAGCCGGAGAGGAGTTCCCGCTGCTGTTCTGTAGCTGGATTTTTTTTTGGCCGCACCAGCACGCGGCAGAGCCGGTGACTTCCTCGATGAGGCTATCATTTGGCATCTATTCCCGACACTCATCCCACACTGGATGCCTCTTCTCTGCTCGGCCACAGCAGGCAGAGATCCGGCACCTTCCAATCCTGCCACCTGCCCCTCCCTGGTACCAGGATGGTCTATCACAGCTCAGGGTAAGCTGGTCCTCGTTCATCTTCCTGCGGTGCCCACACACATATAAAAATAAATTGCACCACAGCAAGCAGAGCAGTAACTTTTTTGCTAAAATCAAGGGGGCTACAGGTATGTTGCTAAAGGCAAAAATCAGCTCGACATGAAGCGCCGTGGGGTATGTATGCCCCAGTGCTCGGGTGTGCGTGGGAAGTCCCAACCATGAACATACGAAGCTGGGTACTGCGCACTGAAGCTCGCGTGGGCACCGGCTTTGTTCCCAGCCAGCCCTCCGGAGCACTGCACCGCCGTGCTACAGCCCTGCGGAACATACAGGCTGGGAACCCTCCCCGTGAGACAGCAAACGAAAGCAAAAGCTTGGCGTTGTTCACCCTCACGAGCTCTTGCGAGTCTGAAAATAGACCCACTCCAGTCTCCAAAGTTGATGGGAAAGTATTTTCCCTTCAAAATTACTTTATATGGAGAAGGGGAAACCTTCCATAAGCAGCGTCTGCTCATTCTTGCCGGCGTGGGCTCTGTGGCTTCTGGCCTTCCCCATTCCCAAAGCTGCCTGCTCGGCTTTCTGGCAGATTTACAAGCCTCCTTCTTTACCTCTTTCTGCAGGCATTTCTCCCTCTCCTTTAACCTGGCCTTGAAGAAGTTAGAGGAGGAAGCTCCAAGACATCCAGACTAAAGGAGATGCCAGATGCCAAGGCTGTTCAGATGGTCCCTCTCAGACTTGAGCAGCCCAGTGACCCTGGAAAGGCTGCAGACGTGAATGCAGCTTTACCGCAAGCCCTGGAGACTTGAGACTGAGCCAGCATGAAGTAGGGCCCTGGGCCACCATCTATCTGCCATGGATCTCCTTCTGCTTCCCACTCCACCAGGCTCAGCGTGGAGCAGAGCGGTACAGCTGGAAATCCCACCCCTGCTGTTTTACCATGGTTTGGGAACACTGCCTTCAGGCACCTTGGGCATGACCTTTATATGGCTACTTATCAGTCCTCTGAGGGGTTTGCTCATAGCTGGGAGGGAGAACGAGGTGGCCTTGCAATGAACGAAACCTCAAGCTCTTTCCATGTGAGATGGGTCTATGCTGGCCCCAGCGCTGCTCCCGGAGAAAAGGCTGCGCCTCTGCACACCTCTCACCCAGCCCAGCGCTTTGCCACGTCCAGCAGCGTCCTCAACGCAATCTGAACTTCAAAGTTGGGGCAACAACGGGGAGGCCAATGCGGCTGAGGCTGCTCCAAAGCTCAACTGCGAGCTTAGAACCATGCTCGCCCCTGGAAACACCCAAATGGGGAAAGGGGAAGCCCTCTGAGCGGAGGTGGCGCTGCCCTTGCTAGCGGCCTTCCAAAACCCAACTTCTCTCCTGCCTTTTTCCTTTGTCCTGCCCTTTTTTCCCACCTTCCCTTCCTGTTGCCAGTCTCCGCAGTATGCTGTCCCCAGGGTCAAGCAGGCAGCAGCTTTCTGCAAACACACTTGCTGCTTCCCAGCCATATCTGGATGCGTATTTGGGTTTTTTTTGTCCCAGACATCCCAAATAAGCTCTATCAAGAAACTTCTCTCCTGCTGGCTGCCACCTCCCCTCTTCTCTTCATGTGACCTTGGCTCAGTTTTACTAAGAAAACCGTCTTTATGGCACAAGGACGACCATGAGCTAAAGCCTGGAAAGAATGTGAAAAGCTTGCTGTGGGTGACACGGAAACAAGGCATGGCAGCGTTTCTGCATGGAAAAGCAAGCGGGGCTTTCAAAAGTCCGACCTGATTAGACTTGTTACGTGGTAATCTCCTATTTAGTATGAACCTCAATCAACCTCGGCCCAACAAAGGATTAAACACATTTTTTTTTAAACACAGCATGCCTTTCCAGCAATAGAAAAAACAAATAGGGGCAGGAATTTGCTGATCTGTAATCATTCCTTCCTAATGATTTTGGATATGCTATGATGATTGAGAATGAAGGCACAGGTGAAATATGGGATCCTCTCGGGCGGTGGAGGTCTTTGGTGCTCTCCAAGACTCTGAGCTGCTGAGTAATACATTAAACAGCTTCCCTAATAAGATTTTAGCACAGTAACCATAAAAACTCAAGCTCCAATGAACCAAAACCTTTTCAAATAACTGAATGCCTTTTAAGGAGGAATTTATGGCCTATCCTACAACAGTGGAAAAACCCAAAGTTACAGACAAATTTTGAAAATACCAGCATAAAGCTTCAACCCTAGAAACTGTTTCAAAATCCCAATGCACTGTGTGCTGAGAAAGCAAGCACCACACTGAAAAATATCACATCTCCACGCCACGCTCCATCCAAAAGGACCCCGTGGTACAAAACGAAAGGTGTAACCCCACCATGCACCTGCACATCTCTGCTCTGCCACAGACTCTCTGGACACAGCAAAAAAACGCTGGCAAGATCCACCTGCAAATGCAACACACTTTCCTTTGCAGTGGGAGAGAAAGCTGGTAACAGGCCACTGCTGCAAGACCCCCACTCCCAGCTAATCAGAAACTCAAACCAGCTTCCCAGGGGAATCAGGGAATTCAGTTCATTTCCAGCCACAGATGACTTAGCAAAAACTCATCTAAATCTCTCTTTCACCAGCAAAGAAGAAAGCACTCCTAAAATGTGGCTATTCTTTTTAAGTCCCTTAAAATCCAGGAAAAGAAGAACAGAAGGAAAGAACTGATGCAATCTAAACCACTTGTTAAATAAAAAGCACAAATCCAGAAGGGCTTCTTGCAAAATGTGATCAGGTATGAAAGATGCTCACTGGCGTGTAAAGGAGTTGGGAGCCTTTGAGTTTAAGGCAGCTGTATCAGGAGAAGACGAGCCAACATCAGCAATAACAGCAGTCTGCCCTCTCCCAGAAGGTTTTCCCCTAAACCCCCGTTTCTGCTCTATTCTGGTAGTGTATTAAAAAAACAAACAAACCTGGTAGTGTATTAAAAAAACAAACAAACCTGGTAGTGTATTAAAAAAACAAACAAACAACAAACCACCCTCAAAACTGAAATATTTCTGGCAAAGCCTCATCAGCTGAATTTGGATGGAATGAGCCAACAGATGTGATCTATGCTTCTTGTTTTAAAGTTGACCTGAGAGAGCTCCACACTTCGTTTGCAGCATAGATGTAGCTTTACGGGATGCTGAGGCACCAGCAAAGCAAAATGACTGCTGGCATAAAGTGGTGGGAATTTGAGGGGGTGCGCTTGCCCCTGGGGCTGTCAGTCTCCATGACAGCCTGGCAGCCACGATCCTACAGCCATCAGCCCATTTTTTAAGCCCTGAGGACAGCCAAGAAACTCATCGCCCACCTCTTCCCGAGCCCCAGAGCTGGCAGGTGGCACCTTGGCAAAAAAACCCTTCTAGGAGGGGTGCTGCCTGGGCTTCTGCAAGCCAAAACGACCTCCCTTTGGGAGGACAGCTCAGCTCTGGTGACCGAGATCAATTTGGTGATGAAAGGGAGATTTGGGCAAGTTTAGTGCCGGTTACAGTCAGCTTTAAAAGAATCTCTCCTCTGGTCCCGCTGTTCACAAGCTCTGCAGCCTGTGGGATGGATCCTGCAAAGTGCTGAGCCCTCGTCACCATAGGGCAAACCCCTGCACGTTCCCAATGCTGGGAAACGACTTTCATGGAGCCACAGAGATTCAAGCCATGTTCAGATCGACAGAAATAAAGCAGGCTGCTTGGCGAGCCAGCAAATCTACCCTCCACCTAGGGAGGCCCGGAGTTTCTCCCTCCAGGAGGGCTCTCTAGGTAGGTACAAAGCAGCACCAGTGTCCTGGAGGGTGAAACACTGTCCTCTGAAGTTTGCCAAGAGCTGCTTTGTGGTTTGCTGCATTTGGGCAAGAACAAGCGCTTGGCTTCCACCGAGAGAGAAGTGAGCACAAAATACAAAACCTTGACTGACAACAGCAAAACGACCTGGAGACCCCAACCCTGCTGGAACAAGTATCAGGGACTTCAAATGATAAGGCCTTTGGGCTGTAATGAGGCAACTCCAGCAGTTTTTCCAGCAGTCCTGACCTGTCCCTTGAAGCAGGCATTTGCTGGTAGGTGATGATAAGAGAGACCTGAGGGGATTTGTTTCTTCTTGCACTGGTTAGGCAACAAGTCCGTGCCTGGTATTTTTCAGCTCAGAGAGATTGTCATGCCAAAAATCCTGCTAGCTTTTTGATGAGGGCTGGTGCTTTGAGGTTGTTTTTCTGCCTGGCTTGAGCTGAGCCACGCAACTCTAATTCTTTATGCCAGCTGGCTTTGCATGGCAGTGGGCATCATGGTCCTCCCGCCCCAGGTCCCAGCTGGCCGTGAACAGCCTCAGTGCATGCACTGCAAAATGAATTTCAGCCTGAATTACTGAAGCCACCAACTCTGTAAGAGGTTCTTCTGAACATCTGCGCACAGCTGGGTGATGGCAGCAGCAGAAGGCTGTTACAGCAGCTTTCCCTCCTGTCCCTGCCCCAAGGCTTCTGCTTTGTGTCCGGGCCTGCCCTGCCGCAAGAGCTGGCAGCAGACCTGAGCATAGCTATGCATGTTCGTAGGCAGAGAGCAAAGGGCCAATCCATTTAAAGGCAATGCTGGAAAGCAGCTGGAAAACTTCACAGCATCCATCTCCTGCAGGGCCTTGGCA